TAAGGCCCTTTTCACCTATGTTAGATACTTGTTCTTTTTCATTCCTGAAACCTGATTCTGTCCATGTCTGCATTCCTTTAAGTGACCGTGGCTGAGTTGTTCACAGCAATGGGGTCTCTAGCGCTTGTGCCACATTTCTTATCATACCCACACCTGTAGTCTTCCTCACAATATCCTGTGTCTCCATTTCTCAAGGCCTTTGTTATCATTCCAGTGCCAGGCCTGTATTTTGCTCTACCACAACACTGTTGTGGTAAATAACTCATTCTACACATAATAACTTCTTGTTACTTCTATAGATATAAAGCTGTGTTTGTACCATACAAAGATAAAAGAAGGCATAAAAATTAGTCATAGCCACCCAATCGCAAGAAAATTTGAAGTTACAGCTAAACCAAGTTTAAAAAAAAAAAAACCACAACAAAACTCCAGGCAGCTCAAGAGGTCTTGCAAACTCAATGGCCTGTTACTAATAGTGGCAATACTGCATTACTGGGCTACCAAACTACAGATACGGCAAAGACTTAGTGAGTTGTGTTTTCATTCACTTAAAATATGATGTTAAAAGGTAGTGAAGAGAAATAACTGATGTTCCCTTAGCCTCTTGATCCTTTGGCATGAATTGCTGGGGAGGAAGAAGCTTGTTAGAGTATCTGCATGTTCTTTGGTAAACTGAAGTCTAAAAAATGGATTGTAGAGTAACTCAAGAAAGTTAGAAATATCTTTTATTCATATAAGGAATATAAGAAATATTAAGGATAATAATTTATTATTATATTATAATTTTGGTGAAACAAATGTATCTAGAGTACTATTCTATTCTATATCAATGGATGCAGGTTGATATTTATGCATTTTCTTCTCAGATTGCTATTTAATCTGTTAGAGAATAGCAAATATATGGTCTTTGGTTCTTAGTGAAAGCAAAAGTTAGTGAAGTTGATTTTGGGAATATTCAAACCATAACTGACACTATGGAAAAAGCAGCCATGGAACAGAGATGATCAAGCAGTATATACAAAGACATCTTTTTTTTTTCAGGATTGGATGCACACACTCTTGCACATAGAACAGTTCTTACCCAAAACCAGAGACTAGAAGGAGCAAAGATATTTCAGCTGTTTCCCGAGCTCTCCCCAGTAGTGTTTTTATTCAATGTATAACAAAAAATTCGAACGAATCGGAACATCTCAAGACTGGGAATTGTTTAGGACCATAGAAGGCTGTATTGTAGCGCCACCTGGTGCCTCTGGCATAGCCGTATTGCAAAATAGACTTCCTGAAAAGGAATTTTTTAATTACTTTTTAAATTATTTTTAATAATTACATATTGCTTGCAATCTTTTTTGTTTTTTTCTTTAGGAGCAGGGAGCCTCATTCCTTTATTCATTTATTCATTGTCTTGATTAGCATGGCAGCACTTCTGAAATCATCTTCATCATTTGGGCAACTGTTGTATTTTTGATCCTACTTTTGGGACTTCCATATATAAAGGTTGTGTTTCCCTAACAAGGGTAATACAGATGACATCAATGTTTTTTTCAGGAAACGAGGAAAACAGTTTCACTAGCAGTTACTGGTTTGGATAGGAAAATTGGTATCGCAACAACTGGTTGCAATATCAACAACAGTTTCTTTTGAGTTTTTTTTGCTGTGGGGTTTTTTTGGTTGTTTTGTTTTTGTTTTTTAATTGTGGAATGCTACCAACTCAAGCTTTTCGCTTACTTGGTAACTTGAGCGATTCCCTTATCTCACTAATATATTTCCAGTACTAAAGAACTGGTTTGACGGTTAGGCAACCAAGCTTCTTGGTTAAGATAGGCAGAGCTGCAGTGAAGGTGGGCAGATAGTGGAAAAAAATTCTATGCATTTCTTGGCTCTGCTCTTCAGGTGAACAGTTTTCCTGCAATATATCTGTCCATCAGAAGACCCAGTTCATAAAGAAATAATCCTAATCATGAATAGGCAGCTAAAGAATAGCGAGAAGTGACAGAAAATTGAAAAAAAAAACACCTCCTTTCTTTTTTCACTGATACCCATTGAGTCCTGTATGCCTGAAGACTTTATGGACACAAAACCCTAGCCCTTTAAAGTCACAAAATACGAACTTTCTGTTTTGGCCATTCTTGATGGGTAGAATGACAACATACTGAATTTTACTGCATATACTGAAGTAATTTTTTTGATCTATTGACTTTTTATTCCTCTAAAGAGATTCTATACAATAACAAGTACATTTAAACAAAATAATGGGGGGGACAAAAAAAACAAAACACAGAACCATGAATGTGCTGTCACATACAGTTCAAAGTTTTCAACTTCTTGTTTAAACATGATTTGATATATACATTTAATATAGGTCACTGCAGAACAGTAGATATGCTCTATTCATCTTAATATTTAAGTTAACTACTCGCAGCGTGTAATAAACTACTCTCTGAATGATATGCTTCTAATCTATTTCTTTTCTCTGCTTTTGATGGAAACTGATAAATATTTGCATTTTCATCAATGTCACCATGACTGGACATGCTGAACAAGTTATTCCATGTTACGTTTGTTCAGAAACTGTTATAGACTAAAGAATTCTATTTTTCTTTTTTTGCAATACAAACACATAAGAAGAATAATAATTAAAAACTAATCTCAGATGAATTGCTATTGGAAATTATAATGTACTTCTGTTCCAGTTTCTATTATGTGAGTGGTATAAAGAGTGATTCTTTATTACCTCTAGTCAATGAAAAAAAAAATTAAAATATTACAGGAACATTATAGTTTCTGAAGAATGAGACAGTGCTGTTGACCAGGCCTTGCATGTTCTAATGGAATATTTCTCATTACAATTTGTGAATTCATCCAGAATTCCATGAAGGGGGTCTAGATCAGCAAGGGTTACCGAAATCTATTACGGATTTTAGTGCGGCGACTTCCTTGATTTGCTGCAAGATTGCCTAACTGGCTCCTCCTTGGTCCAGAGCTGGGAAGACACCGTAAGCTTTGTTTACAAAACTCACAATGCTGCAGCTGTTCAGGCCCAAAGCAACACACCAAAGAGACTAAAGAAGACAAGGTTTCAATTCTCTTCTATGGAGGTTTTCAGTTTGGGAAGAGAGTAATTTTAGAATCATAGAATCATTAAGGTTGGAAAAAACCTTCAAGATCATCAAATCCGAATGTCAATCCAACACCACCCTGTCCACTGAACCATGTCACCAAGTACCATGTCTACACGTTTTTTGAACATTTCCAGTGATGGTGACTTCACCACCACCCTGGACAGCCTGTTCCAATGCTTGACCACTCT